GCTGCTGCTCCAGCCGCAGCTGGCTCTGCAGCTTCTGCACGCCCGCCAGCTCCTCCCGCTGCTTCTCGAAGTTGCGCTGCCGCTCCTGCTCCAGCAGCAGGTTCCCGCGTGTCGACTGCAGCCGGAACTGCTTCTCGCGCTCCTGGATGGAGGCCCTCTGCATCTCCACGTAGCTGTCCTGCTGGGTGATGACCGCCTGGGGGCGTGGACTCATGAGGTGCTGGCCCTGCCCTCTCCCAGACCCCCCCCCCACGCAAGCAGGAAAAGGGCCGCGCAGCCTGTCCCTGCCCACCACGCCTGTACCTGGAGGCTCAGGAGCAGCTGGGACAGTGTCTGGACCCGCTGGACCAGCTGTGGAGAGACAGAGTGCTGGCTTTCCGCCCGCGGCCCTCCCGGTGGGCGTGCCAGTCCCCGGGGGAGGGACGAGCCTGAGCCTACCTCCAACTCCAGGACTGTGGGCAGACGGGGGCCACACTCGGTGCCTGGGGCCTCCACCTGTGGAAACAATGTCGGAGCATACAGCTGCTCAGGAAGCCAGCCAGACTCCGTGCTGACGAGACTGCCCTAGCACGGGTAGGCCTTCCTCGCTGCCTGGACAGTGAGGGCGCAGGGTGGCTCCGGAGGCGGGAGGCAGCTGGCAGGGGCCTGGCCATGGCACTGGCCTCGGACTCAGCACACTGCCCGGCCCTGCTCTCACCCCGACGCTTGGCAAGGGTGGGTGTTCTGAGTCGAAGGGGAGGGAGCAGCCAGCATGGTTGGCACCCGTGGCTGTGAGGACACTGACAGCTCATGGCCCCGCATGGTGTTCCTCACCTGTGGGAGGCCATGGCTGCTGCCCTGAGCCTGCCCTTCCCGGCCTCCCGCCTGCAGGAAGAGACACGAGGCTCACTAGCTGGCGCGCTGACCTGAGCTGAGACAGGCTATTCACCATGAAGCGAACAGCACAGGCCGCTGGCTGTGAGAGGCTGAGCAGTCGGCTCACACTTGCTGGCAGTGACAAGAGCTGGGCGGCTCTGTCCTGAGCTTGGGACTGGCCCGAGGGAGCAACGTACCGCCCACGGTGCTTCCTCAGAGGCGCCTGGGGTGTCGCCGAGCTTCGCATCTGCACTGCTCACAGGGTCTTGCCAGTCTCCTGGGCTGAGGCCACTGCTGCATACCTTCCTCCTACAACTGCCACCTAAAAGCCCAGGCCAGGCCCGTGAGGATGCTTGGGGTTCTGCAGGGCCAAACCCCCTCTCCCCCCGCCCGAACCCAGGCAGGAAATGGTGGCTGGGCTGCTGTCAGACACGACCAACACTCAGACGGTCCCTGACCCTGACCAGAGAGGGTTTACGGACGCCGACAGGAAGTAGCAGCAGAGACGCCAAACAGCAGATGCCGGCTTTGCCAAGGACGTGAGCAAAGGGAACATCTGAGGAGCCCGAACCTGCTGCCGCTACTGGCCTTCCTTCCTGAGGGTCCCGCGGCCCAGCCCTTGGAGGAGGAGGTACCACTCACTCTTGCCAGGGTCACTGCTGCTGTCGGAGCCTCCAAAGGCCTCTGCCCTCTGGTGCAGGCCCGCAGGGGCACCCCCATCTGCCTGGCCACTGGTGCCGCCCAGCCGCCTGCAGATGAGGCTCTGGATGTCCTCGACTGTGGAAGGAGACAGGCGGGATGCGGTCACTCTGTGCAGTCACACTGTGCGCGTCAGGTGTGGTGCAGGGCCAGGGCAGAGGACGGTGGGGACCAGCCCCACTGACCCTGTGCACTCCCCGCACAGGCACGCTGCCCAGGTCAGGCCTCTCCGTGGCTAAAGGAGGGACCGGCCCCGTGGGGCAGCATGTGGACGGGGCATCCTGGACCCTGGGCCTGAGGGTATGCTGGGTCTAGTAAGGAACTGTGTGGCCACTGCTTGTGTGGTGACAATCATCCAGAATGTTAGGGGTCATGGAGGGAGGACTTGGGGACACGGCTGGTGACACAAAGTGCTCCAGGACAAACAGGCTTTGCCCGGGTGAGGCGGTTGGCCGAGGCCCAGGACACAAGAGGCCTCAGGGGCCAAGAACAACAGCCACTGAAGAAATGGGAGGACACTGCTACGGCTGCGGAAGCCAGACTGAATGGGGGCAGAGTCCATGGGAGCGCCTCTGCTGTTACCTGCACTGTGAGGGGAGGGGATGTGTCTGCCTTGTTTGCTGCTGAAAGAGGGTGAATGAGCTGCCGGGCCTGACGTGGGGGCTCAGGAGCTGCATGGAAGCTGCCTGGGCTCTGGCATGGACCCTGATGGCTCCGCGAAGCAGGCCTGGCAGGACGTGCACAGGGGGAGGCCACCTACCGGCTAGGCCCTCCCATGGCTGCTGGTGCATTTTCCCACCAGACCCTGGGCCAGCTCCTAGGAGGGCTGATGGGTCCAGGAGCCCTCAGAAAGGACCATCAATGTGTACGTGTGCATATTTCTGGATATATCACCATGACCCACTACTCAGGAGAGTCACCTCTTGAATGTGGGGACTCGTCTCGGTCCCCATGCAGGACTTCAGATCCCTGGGGCCCAGAACAGTGTCTTGCATGTGGCAGGCACCGGGAGTGTCAAATGTGTGAGAAAGTGGTCTAAGTCCGCGACCAGGGGCTTGCACTGGGTCTCGTCTAACGACCCTCTGGCTCTAACAGGTGCTGGGAGGGTGCCCAGCTGCCCAGCCAGATACAAGTGTGCCCTGGAGAGGGTGGCGAGTTGGCCACACCGGGCCAAGGAACTACCGGGCAGAATGGTGCTGGACAGGGAGGCGCTGTCCCATGAGGACCTTGGGGCAAGGCTACTTACTCTCGGTCATGGCTGACTTGAGGATCCTCTCGCCCTGCAGGTTCTCTGAGAGGTCCCCTCCTCGGAAGAGGGGGTGCGGCTGAGCCGAGTCGTCCAGGCCACTCATGTCGGCCATCTCCAGGAAGATCTGCTGCTTCTCTCGCAGGCTCAGTGCGATCTGCTGGTCTTTCAGGCTCAGTCGTTCTGCGAAGCCACGAGGTGGCCGTCAGGCTCTCTGGGATTGTTCCCCAGGAGTCGGCACTGGGGGGGCCTCAGAGTGGGGCTGGCCTCCGGGGACCCCTGCTGATCCACCTCACCCCAAGGCCCACTGCCCCCTCCAGCCAACCTTCGTGAGGCAGTGAGGGACTGGCCCTGCCTCTGATCGCTTCCCACAATCGTAAATAGCAAACGGTGGGGTATGGTGAGACCATTAACAAGCCAATTTTGGGACAAACTGAGAGCCTTTTAGATTTAGTTTTCTAATCTTGAACGTCCTCCTTCAGGCATTTAGGTCAAACTCCTTCCTACAAGTCTTCCTGTTTTATGCTTGTACGGCTGCCATCTCGGCGACTTACTGGGTCAGACTTCCTCACTGGTGATTGTTAGTACATCTACATCACGTTCAGACTTATAAATCCCTCACTCTCTCATCAGTTCCAATCATTTTCCAGTTGATTCTATTGTATTTTGTAGGCAAATAATCATGTCACATGCAAAAACATCATTCTGCATATTTTAATATCATTTTTACACATGCTTTGATGAACCATTTCCTTTTGATTCTGGGTTTTTTGTCATTCATACAAGGAATTTGCTCACTCCTATAAATTAAATACATTCACCCATTTTCTTAAAAAACCACACACCAAACAAAACACACACACACACACACACACACACAGACACACAGACACACACAACCGTAATTCTGTTGCCACCCTTCCAATCATGCCTTACTTCTGTCTCCCAACATTCCCTGGCTGGGACTGCCAAGGTGAAGATGATAATGGAGAGTGGATGGCTCCAGTTTTTTAAATCCTCACCGGGAGGATATGTTTTTAATTGATATTAGAGAGAACGCAAGGGAGAGAGAGAAATATTAATCAGCCTTACATACGCACCCTGACCAAAGATCAAACCCACAACCTAAGTGTGCGCCCTAACTGGGAATCGAACCTGCAAACTTTTGGTGTAGGGGACAATGCTCCAATCAACTGAGCCACCCAGCCAGGGCTGACTTCTGGTTTTGATGGGAGTGTTTCAAAGTTAAGGGTGAGTTCAGCTTTTGATCCAAAATGGGAAAGAATATCTTGATAAAAATATATAGTCCTAATTCACTAAGAATCTTGGGAATGAGCGATGAAGAGACATCACTGTGTGACTCTACAGTCTCCAGGCAGGACATATATTTCATTGCTAACAGAGAAAATTGTGAGTTAGAATAAGATGAAATGAATACTTTGCTAGGATTATACCCTCCAGGGTCCAATGGGATTTCCTCCCCTTTCTTTTGTATATTTTTTTTATTTATTTTAGAGAGGAAGGGAGAGAGATAGGAACATCAATGAGAATCCTTGATCAGCTGCCTCCTGCACGCCCCCCACTGAAGGGGGGGAATCGAGCCTGGGCATGTGCCCTTGGCTGGAATTGAACCTGGGACCCTTTAGTCCGCAGGCTGACGCTTGATCCACTGAGCCAAACCGGCTAGGGCTCTTTTGGACATTTTAATTAATTAATATATTTAAATGTGCACTTCCTCACAAAGAGAAATAAAATATATACTACCCCATTTTATGTACCTATTGCATAAATGTTACTTTATTTAAAATAATGCCCTTAATGAACAGGAAGAGGGAAGAGGGAAGTTGATTGAGACCAGAGTATTAGGCACTGCTCTTGGCAATGACCTTGCTGAAATCTCACAGGAATTTGTTGAAACTGGGAGGAGAGTAAACAAGCACAATGCGTTACACTCACACAATGGAATATTCCTCAGTCATAACAAGGAAGGAAATTCTGACACCTGCTGCAAAGTGATGGACCTTGAAAATATGCTAAGTGAAATAAGCAAGATGTAAAAGGAGAAATGCTTATAACTCCATTTATACAAGGTCCCTGGAATAGCCACATTCAGAGATAATTGACTAGAACAGTGGTTCTCAACCTTCCTAATGCCGCGACCCTTTAATACAGTTCCTCATGTTGTGGTGACCCCCAAACATAAAATTATTTTTGTTGTTACTTCATAACTGTAATGTTGCTACTGTTATGAATCGTAATGTAAATATCTGATATGCAGGATGTATTTTCATTGTTACAAATTAAACATAATTAAAGCATAGTGATTAATCACAAAAACAGTATGTAATTATATATGTGTTTTCCGATGGTCTTCGGTGACCCCTGTGAAAGGGTCGTTCAACCCCCCCAGGGGTCGCAACCCACAAGTTGAGAACTGCTAGACTAGAAGTTATCGAGCTGGGGGAGGAAGAGCAGAGAGTGACTGCTACCAGGGACAGGGTTTCTTTTGGGGTGATAAAAATGGTCTAAAATTAATTGTGGTGCCCTGGCTGGTTTGGCTCAGTGGATAGAACGTTGGCCTGTGGACTGCAGGGTCCCAGGTTCGATTCCAGTGAAGGGCACGTGTTCAGGTTGCGGGCTTGATCCCCTGAGGGGATCTCTCTCCCCCTCTCTCTTTCTCTCTCCTCTCTCTCTCCATGGATGTTTCGAACTCTCTAACCCTCTCCCTTCCTCCCTTCCTCTCTGAAATCAATATATATTAAAAAATAATAATAATAAAATAAAATAAATTGTGGTGATGGCTGTGATGTGCTAAAAGCCATTGCATGGGACATTTTAAATGGGTGAATTATATGGTGTGAGAATTCTATCTCAATAAAGTAGTTTAAAAAACTAAAATAGGGAGGAGAAAGCCAAGGCCCCGGGCCAGGCTGTGGAAGGGGCTGTGGGTCCTGCGCTACACAGGGCCCTGTGCTCCTTTGTACGTGACTGGGACACTCACCGTGAGCACCCCTGGACGAGGACGGTGGGAGGGCCCGTGTGGCAAAGCAGTCGTGTCTGGAAGGGGCTCTGGGACGCTGTGCCCTCCTCCCTTCCCACACCCCGGAGACCACTCTGCACCTCCTGACAGAGCTGCTGCAACAGCCCACAGGGCTGGACCGAGGCGGCCACAGCAGACCCCGGTCACCTGCACAGTGATTCTCGCCACGGCCAATCCCCATGGGACCGAACAGAAATGCCACTGGTGGGCCCAGGCCTGCTGCCTAAGGGGTGCTCTGCAGGGCCAGGTCACCACATGCAGGGGGCACGTCTGTGGGCATGGCGCCCAGACCCCTCCCTCTTACCTTGGAAGTCCCTCAGCCTCAGGGCGCGGGCCTCCACCACCTTCCTCTCCTCCTCAGCCTCGCTGAAGGGCCCTTCCTCCTCGTCCGGACAGCTGCGGGGAGGGGCACAGAGGGTGAGAATGCTCATGAGCTGACTGGCCTCGGAAACGGGCCCAGAAGTTTATCTCAGAACCAGCTGCTAAAGAGGATCTCATTTTGTGGCAGGGTTAGCTCGTCAATGTGGCAGGAGAACAAGGACAGGGAAGAGCAAGACAGCCATTAGCATGAACCTAATCTCAGTGCTGGGATATCACCAGCCACAGGTTTTATTATTTGTTTATTTAAAATGCCTGGAAAGCCATGTCACCGCTTTTTAAATTTTTAAAATTTGATTGATTTTGAGAGAGAAAGACACACATCAATTTGTTGTCCCACTTACTTATGCATTCATTGGTTAATTTTTGTAAGTGTCTTGACCAGGGTTCAAACCCGAAACCTTAGTGGATCAGGACGATGCTCTAACCAACTGAGCTACTGGGCCAGGACCAGCCACGTTTTAAATGCCGGCCACAGCGGGAGGAAGAGACCGGGGGCAGCTCTTCCTAGGGCCCTGCCCCGCACGGAGGCTGCAAGGCTGGCAGGGCTGAGGCGAGGACGGAGGGAGCTGAGGCTTTGGGAGGTTTCCAGGCACCGAGAGAGGAAGCAGCAGGCTGCCTCGGTGTGGGGGCTGGGCCCCCTTTTCCCATCTGCTGGGTGGACCAGGAGCCAGGCATCACCCAGAACCACAGGGCTGGGGTCCGAGGTTCCCTGGCCCGGGGAGGAAGGACAGAATGCCATGATCTGCTCCAACAGGTCTGACCCCAGACGGGGGTGGGAGTGGGGGCGGGGAGGTGGGTGGTGGTAGGATGGGGACAGCCTGTGTGTCAGGCTGTGTCCCACCAGAACGGAAGTCAGAGCTGCCGGGCTCCACGTCCCCTGGCAAGACACGCTGGGGCCTCTTTAGAGTCGGAATGGTGGCATCTTTGAATAAAGGGGAGGAAAAAGCACAAGGTGGAGAGTGGGGAGGGGGAGCGAAGGTCTCTGCCCGCCTGTGGTTCTGGTGCTCTCTTGGGCAGGTCAAGGTCACAGCCAAGGGCAAAACGGCCTGCGTGGAACACACCGGCCCTGCTCACCTCTCAACGGCCCTTCGGATGTGGGCCATCCAGGCGTTTCTCTCCTCTTTGGAGCTGGTGTAAATCTCGTACATCTCAGGCCCTTTCAGGGAGGCGCTGATCAGAAACATGGCTTTTTCCTCGTTGGCTACTTCCCTCACAATGAGCTTTTGTAATGAGATGACGGGGCGCTTCGAGTCCTACGTGGGTGGAACAAGGTGGGAGGGTCACCTTTTACCTACTGCAGGGCGCCCCACTTATTTCCAAACAATCCGAAGTAGAACTATTTTACCATCTGGGGGAAAAGATACTATTGCTATGACATCCTTGTATCCTTTAATGCATCTGTTTAATGTGCTTAAACAAATGTGTTTTATAATCAGCTAGAGGCCCAGTACATGAATGTGTGCACGGGTGGGGTCCGGCGGGGCTGTGGGTGGTGGTGGGCGGGCCCCACCCTCTGGTTGAACTCCTGGTAGAACTCCCAGCTGAGGGGACAATTTGCATATTGGCCTTTTTTACATAGGATAACACATGCACACAGCACAAAACTAAACAACAACAAAAAAACAAACAGAAAAACAAGAGCAGATAGTAACTACAACAATAAATCTTCCTCCTGACCCTGGTCCCAAACACCCAGGACCAACCAGTACTCCCAGTGAGCTGTCCCGTAAGAAGATAGTAAAATACACATTCTCAGCTGGTTGTTTTGGGCTGAATGGTGTTCCCTCAAATTCATACGCCGAAGCCATCACCCCCTGCACTCAGAACGTGACTGCATTTGGAGACGGGCCTTCGCGTGGGTGATTAAGTTAAAACGAGGTCATTAAGGTGGGCCTGACCCCATCTGACTGGTGTCCCTATAAGAAGAGACAGACGCGCACAGAGGGACAACCATGCGGGGACACAGGGAGCAGACACCAAGCGGACTGCGGCATCGCATCACCCTCGAGCGAGGGCACCGACAGCACGCACAGGTGTGCTGGAGACAAGGCCAGACGACTGTTCCGCCGGGCAGCCTGACCCGTCTGCGTGCTGGGAAACCCGGGAGGCTTTCAAAGCTGGGAAAGGTACGTGACTTCACAGTTGAGTCAGCGCTGCCCTCCTCATCAGGTGAACCTGGAGGCCTGGCGGGGGGTCGCACCTCCCCTGCAGGGAGGTCTGTGCTGTTAGACCCTCAGGACACGGGGCCCTGCAGGTGAGCAGAGGAGGAAGCAAGTCCCGGGGGCTGTGGGCGGGGTGACTGGCATCCCCGCCTGACCCCCAGCCCACCGGCTGCGCAGAGCCCATGGCAGGCGTGGCTCCCACGGCAAGGGTCTCCTGGGGCCAGCCTGCTGTGGGATCAACATGGTCACAGCACAGGGTGGTGGCTGCCTGAGCGTGTTCTCAGCGTCGAGCCGGAAAGTCCCTGGGAAGGGCAGAGGGGCTTTCCTGGCAAGGCCGGGGCCAGTGAGGATCTGAGCGCTTTGACAGAAAGACACAGAATGCAGACAGGATGTCTGCACAAGCCCTTGCAGCCTCGTCAGACCAACTAGACGGGACCCCTGTTCTGGGGAACTTCTACTCCTGCCTTCTGGAACCTTCTGGCCCTGGGAGGACCGGGGACAACACGTGACTTATGGATGGGCTTGTCTAGCCACCTCGCTCTGTGCTGTTCTCGTCTAGTTGTGGATGCAGCCTGGCCACCCCTCCACCCAGTGCCTTCTGCGCAGCCAGCAGCCCTTCGTGTGAAGAGAGGGACACATACCACAGAAGCAAAGACGTACTTCTGATCCTTTTCTTGTAGCAGCAACAGCACATCGGTCAACAGGACGGCAAGGACATCTAAGGGGAGAGGACAGGAGACAATGCACAGGGTGCCAGGAGACACGGACCTTGAGGAGCCTTGGGCACCATGGAGGAGCCTGGGCCACTCTCAGTGTTGTAACGGTGCCTGCTGGGTCTGGTCTTCGAAGTTCTCTCTCTGATTTCTCAAATGTGAACTCCGCCCCCTCCCTCCTTCTACCTGCCCCAGGCCACCTGGGACCTGAGGTGCTGGACCCCGGCTTCCTGCCTCCTCCTGCAGCAATGCACTCCCGCCCCCTCGTGGCCGAGCCTCCTTCCGGGGGGTAGCAGGGGGGTGTCTGGTCCCCGTGAGTACCTCTCACAGCACCCGAGCACGTGGCGCGATCCTGAGGGCAGTTCCGACACGAGCACTCATGCCCGGGGACAGGGCTTTCTCAGGGGAGAATCAGACACCCTCTCAACCTGGCCTCTGGCTTCCCCCAAAGCGCTTACTACACTTTGCACTGTTTCTGTTGACTGGTTTCTCTCTGCCCGCTGACGGGAGCCCCATAAGGGCAGGGGCCTTCTACCACCCACCTCAGGCCTGGCACACGGGAGGCACTAAACCAGTGGTTCTCAACCTTCCTAACGCCGCGACCCTTTAATACAGTTCCTCATGTTGTGGTGACCCCCAACCATAAAATTATTTTCGTTGCTACTTCGTAACTGTAACTTTGCTACTGTTATGAATTGTCATTTAAATATCTGATATGCAGGATGTATTTTCATTGTTCGCGACCCACAGGTTGAGAACCGCTGCAACTGTATCTATTGGACACATGTCATGCAAAATATGAACAAACACATTCCATCGTTTGACCACCTGAGGATTTGCCACTCCCTTTAGGATCTTTACAGATGCGGATGCCAGTGGACAGGCCAGGATGCTTCTAGACCAGGGGTGGGCAAACTTTCTGACTCGAGGGCCACAATGGGTTCTTAAACTGGACCGGAGGCCGGAACAAAAGCATGGATGGAGTGTTTGTGTGAACTAATATAAATTCAAAGTAAACATCATTACATAAAAGGGTACATTCTTTGTTTTTTTTAGTTTTATTCATTTCAAACGGGTGGATCTGGCCTGAGGGCCGTAGTTTGCCCACGGCTGGTCTAGAGGCTCATGAACCTCCAGCGTGAGATCACTCCACGAACTCTGAAAGCTGGGCTCAGAGCATATCCTCAGCTGGGACTGGGGTGCCCGCGGACACTGAGGTCTGTGTGGTGTTTTCTACCCAAACCAGGCTCTTTGGTGGCTGGGCCCACTGCAGGCACACCCATGGCTTGTTTGGAAGTAACCTGGACCTCACAAAGCTTTGGATTTCTGTTCAAACGTCTGTGAGTCCCATGCCCGCCTGGTGTGCATCCCACCATCTCAAACATGGAGGGAGAGGGTGCTGGTGTGAGCATCTCATTCTCACTACACTCCTGGCTGCCTGTGCTCATCCCGACTCTGCACACAATCTCCCTTCAGCCACAAAGCAGCCAGACCGCAGTGGCTCTGGCCAGCGGCACCCACCAACCCCAAATGGTGCTCACTGACCAGAAGGCACCCCCTAGTCCAAGGTCGTGGCACCTCTCCAAGTTGGCAGCACCAATTCAAGAAGGTGGTACCAAACCAAGAAGGTGCCACCGGTCGAAGATGGGAGCCACTGCTCCTCGATGGCACCAGCAATGCAGAGGGTGCCCACCCCCTAGGACGGTGCTCCCAACTCCAAAGCAGTGCCCAGCACCCCCAGAGCGTGCTGCACGCCGGGCAGGCTTCACCTTTCAGGCGCCCCGCCGTGGTCTTCCAGGCCAGCGTGCCTTCCAGGTGCAGCTGCCGCTGCAGCATGTCCTCCTTGCGGAAGGGCAGCCCATTCTTGAGCTTGCTGGAGGACTTCAGGTCCATCCTCCCTGCGATCTCTCTGAGGCGCTGGCCTTTCTCCCACTCGCTGACCTGGGTGTCCACTTGTGAGATAACATCTTTGATGAGGTTCAGGGCCTGGGTCAGGTCTTCGTAGTCCTTGGAGCCAGCTGCCACACACAGCAGAGTTAGAGTGCTTTCCTTCGTCTGCGTTCATGAACATGACAGAGGTGGACACACTACGGGGTCTGTGAGCTGCATTCCCTGAGGCAGGACTGCTTGGAGGACCCTCGAGAATCACCTCCCAACTTAATTTCCCAAGACAGCAATGCTTCTCCAAAATACATGCACTAGCCCAGCGCTGGGGTTTGCCCAGAGTGTCTGTTGAAGTCAGGTGCCCCGCCCTGGTAAGAGCACCCTGCACAGCTCCGTGGGCACTGCCTGGTCAACAGCCTCCCTGCACCCCTGCCATCGCCACGAGCTAGGGATACGGCTTTCCTGGTGGGGAAACGTGCTCATTTCCCACGCTCAAACCCCCTGGAGCTGAGGGAGCATGGCCAGCACTGCCCTGGCCTTCTCTGCCCTCCATGTTGTAGGCAAGTCCCTCTCATGGCCCTGCCCCTGGACTCTGTGCCCGTCTGGATCACTCAGGAGTGACCTTAACGAGGGCACTTTCTCCATCATTCATCCACTTCCCAGATGCCTGTGCCAGGGGCAGGGGTAACAGCAGGCAAACGAGACTCAGTGCCCATCTTTCTTTGTTGGAAACCCCAGCGCCCAACACAGTGGATTCGCATGGTGGCACTTGGCTCATGATTGCCACGCTCAGCTGAACCCAGAGAACCAGGGACAAATCCGAGGGGCACTTATCCAATCCGCGGCCCAGAGCGGGCAGCAGACAGACCCCCAGCACCACGGGCAGGGCAGGAGCGGCGGCGCACCTTCCGTGTTCTGAATGATGCGCTCCACCAGCACGGGGTACTTGGTTATGCGCTGAGTGACCAGCAGAATGCACTCCTGCACGCCAAGGCGTCTCACGATGGGAGAGCTGCCGATTTTCTATGAAATGGGAAGAAACCAGGACACACTGACGTTTCATTCCTGCCAAATCAGTGAGTTTAACTGGATCGGGTCCTGAGGCTGGGCGCGCCTTCCTCTCCTGGCTGGTGGGGACCTTTTCTCTGCACTTCACCAGGTATTTAAAAGCAGGGAGCCCCTGTTTGTGTAAAGGCAACAAAGGCCAAGACAGCCACGCCTTGTAAGAGGGCCCCCGAGAGACCAGCTGAGAAGAAACCAGACCCAGCCAGGGGCGGTTATGGGAACCACCCGGAGAGCTGCATGATGCACACACGCACACTGCATGGGATCCCAACCCTGACTGACGGCTGCTGGAACCTTCCAGAATGATTGGGCTGGGGCCTTCTGAACCACTCCCTGCTGGCGTCTGATGCACACCTCTGGTAAGAGCCCAAGAACTGGCCTTCAGAAGCCGTTTCTCGGTGGGGACTGAGAGCAGCTCTCCAGAGCGTACCAGCCCACCGTCCGCCTGCTTCAGAAATGCCAGCACTGCAGAGAGGACCGGGAGTCCCGGTGGGATGCGTGAGACTCATCAGAACCTGCCCACTTCCCAGGTGTTTCTAGCCATGATGTCGGATGGCCTGTCCCACTGCTCAGCACAGTTGAATTCAGGCCCTGAAGTGCCCTCTCCCTTTCATGTCTACCCACTAGTCCACTAGGATGGTGATGGAGTGAAGTGACCATTCGTTAGAGAATGTCACCTCAGGGTACAGGCAGCAGGTGGCAGAACGCTTCTGGATCAGGTGGCAGGGGCTGCTGCAGAGCCACGCTGATGGAGCCCCGCAGACTCAACCAGTGTCCTTTCTAGAACATGCGAGGTGGGCCTTGCCCGACCCGGCTGACCCAGGCTGGGGACGTATTTTTAGTTCTGAGCTTGAGCCTCCACACACTGATAGGCAAAACATGGGTGTGGGTCATTCCACAGGCTATCAGGGAACAAATGGGGCCCAGAGAGGGGAGGAGGCAAAGGTTTAGAGTAAGGCACACCTTGCATCAATCGGAGTGTTTGAAGCCACAACAGGTGACTCTGGAGGGGATGGCCCCGAGGGGAGGATGCCCCTTGAAACCACACTGTGTCACCTCAACATTTTGAGAAGGATGGTCAGCGGGCTCTATGCTGGGGCATCTCAGGGGTCACCGTGGTGTGTCGAGGAACAAAGCTCTAACTCTACTTTGCACCTGGGGATTCTCCAGAAGATTCCACTGACTTGTTCTGAATGTGTCATTAAGAATGAAATAACAACTTGAAAATCATTGATTTATAACAGGCACCTTAATCAAAGGATCTCCAAACTTCTCTGTAGGGGAAAACCTACAGCAAAGAGGATATGTTTTTAATTAAAATTATAGTTCTTTTTACCTTGATCAAGTTTTGAAATTTCTTATTTTGCTGCAGCAACAATTTGTAATGACTGACTGCTTCGTTGTGTCCACTACAAAAGACACCGTATTTCTTTTTCATTCTCTCTCCATTTTCACCTGAAAACTGAAGAAAGACAGTGGCGATGTTAACCACCAGGGAAAGTTTTCTTCCAGCTCCTCTGTTTTCTCCTAAAACAAATACTAAGTTCACTTGCAATTTAACTTTCTTCTCTAACACACCCTCAAACACAGCAATGCTTCATTACAGGTGTCTCACGGCAAGGCACAGAAAGGTAGAGTGCTCATGAGCTTTATGCCATGATAGGTGCTGTAACAACTTCCTGAAATCTGAGAAGAAAAAATACATTGAAGCCAAAGAATGTTAGAAAAATTTAAAAGCAAAAGGGGTATCTTCTAATTAATTCCCGTGAGCTGACTCAGATCCTGGAGCACTCGGAGGTCAGATGAGGGGTAACGAGACCCTCTGTCAATCTTGGCCAAGACTCAGAGGTTGACTCTGAAGTCAATTCAGGGTCAACACCCCCTCCCCCATGAATGGCTTTGGGTAATCAATACGCTTCTAACAAAGAAACACAGCCACCAAGACAAAAAAAATAAAGGCCAGCCAATCAACCAAAGAAAAGCCCAGAATGCACTTCTGGACAGTGATTGCACAAGCGTGTTGCTATTTAGGCGTCTGTGGTTAGACCATTAGCTGCACACACAGCAGGAAGGGCCCCAGATCACTGTCTTCTAGAGCGGCAGGCTCTCAACCAATCGGGGGAAAGGGCTCCTGGGCCCAATGCCAATGTGGGGGCGGTCCCCTCCATAGTAATGATTCTCAGACAACAGCAGGGTCTGACACTGTCTACCTGGAGACAGCGTGAGATTCCACAGTTAGGGGTACAGTCCCTCAAAAGTATCCCTCCCCAGGACACCAGGTGTCACCCGAGCCCCTGACCGACTGGCTATAAACCAGAGGTCCCACCATCCCCTTCTTGGGTTACGTGAATTTGCTAGAGTGGCTCACAGAACGGAGAGAGCCCTGGTACTTGCTAGATCACTGGTTTGTTATAAAGGATGTAACTCAGGAACAGCCAGATGGAAGAGATGCATGGGGCCAGGATGGGCAAAGGCGCAGAGCTTCCGTGACCTGCCCAGGCACCACTCCCCAAATCTCCATGTGTTCACAGCCTGCAAGCTCTCCCAACCATAGTGGGTTTTTATGGAGGCTTCACTACACAGTTACTATTGATTAACTCAATGACCACTATCAATTGATTCAACCTCTACCCCCTCTTGTTGGGGGTGGGACGAAATTCCAACCCTCTCATCAATGGTCGGTCCCGGCAATCAGCTCCCACCCTTAGGCTCTTCCTGACCGTCACCTCACTCACAGACCAGACCCCGTTACGCTCTCAGCACTCAGGAAACCCCAGGATGGGAGCTGGGAGCCAGGAAGCTGGATGAAGGCCACGTGTATTTCTTATGAATTCCAATACTGCAGGGAGCCATGTTTTGTGATTAGGAGGAACAGAGGGGGCGGGGCTTGTTCTGGCCTTGCCCACCTGCTGTACCAGGAGGTCCCCGATTTTCTGGATGATGTAATTCCGGTCGCTGCCCTCTTCCAGGGACTCCTGGCGGCGTTCCTTTAGCCGGGAGAGAAAGTGGCCATGCACCTCGAGCAGGTCGTCTGCACACGGGAAGAGGCGGCTGACAGCCTTGCTGCTGAGCTGCAGCTCCTCCTGCAGGGCCCTGGCGTAGACCTTCAGCATGATCTTGAGCGTCCGCACGTGGTGCACCTCCGTCTGAATCAGCTCTGCGGAGACATGGACGACAGAACTTACCCCGAGTGGGAGCACACCCTGGCTTGGCTCCTCGTGTCCCACGGGGGCACTGTGTGTGCTGCCTGCCCACCACGCACCAGGCTGGCTTCTCAGTTCTCCACCCAAATCCCTGTCCTTCCTGCCTAGGGGCCAGGCCTTCCAGCCCCAGTCCTGCAGGGGTCCCAGCTTAAGGGAGCAGCAGGGGATGGAGTGACATCAGGACAGGGAGGGCCCACGATGTGTACTGTCCTCAAGTTCACAGGAGGGTGTTTTTGTTGTTGTTAATCCTGCCTGAGGATTTTTCGATTGACTCTTAGGGGGAGTGGAAGGGAGGGAGAGAGACAGAGAAAGAGAAATATTGACGTGTGAGACACTCATCTACTGGCTGCCTCCCGACCGGGGCTGGGGATCGAGCCTGCAACCGAGATAGTGCTCTTGACAGGAATCGAACCCAGGATCCTTCAGTCCTTGGCCTAATGCTCTATCCACTGAGCCAAATCAGCTGGGGCCACAGGAGGGCTTTGTGCCTAGAGTCGAACAAAGACATTTCAAGGCTGTTTAAGCCAGAAGATTGGATAAACACCACTCCTTGGGGTGTGAAACTCACACATTTGTGCATGTCAATGGCCAGACTCAGACTAAGCCACCTGGCCGGGGCAAGTGAGATTGGAATTCTTTGTAAAAGGCAAAGAAAGATCAGGTTTTGTGTTAGAGTTTTTCTGATATTCAAGACAAGGCCTTAAAGCTCTTCAAGACAGAACCAAGGTCAACAGGGCTGGGCCCCAGGTGTCCAGAGGGGGCCGGAGGAGGGCTGGAAGCAGTCTGCGTTCGCCCAGCAGTATAGATCAGGTGGCAACTGGCTGCCCAGATGGAAGGGGGGATCTAGGCTGGTCCCCTGTCCCTCTCTGCAGGATCTGTGGCCTGGCTCTGGACCCTGAGGGAAAGCATCCAAGGTTTTCCTCCACAGCCACACCCCACCTCACTCTGGGCCAGGCAGGGAGCTCAGCGTGTGAAACGTAGAAGGACGTGAGTGCCAGTGGACATTACCAAGTGGCACATGGGGGTCTCGGAGCTAGACCTGCCCTGTGGGATACCAAGAGAGAACACTTCTGGAAATGCCAGCATTTCCTCCCAGAATGCCATTGAGGAACAGCAAAGTGCCTCCTCAGGTGACACAATACTCATTCTTGGGGGATGGTTCCCATGAAGAGAGGACCATGAGAAGAGCCAGTCACAGCCCCGGCTGGGCTGGCTCAGTTGGCTGGAGCATCATCCTGTACACCGAAAGGTCGTGGGTTCGATTCCTGTCAGGACACATCCCTAGGTGTGGGCTCAGTCCTCGGCTGGGGTGCGTACAAGAGGCAACCAATCGATGCTTCTCTCTCCCACTGCTGTGTCTCTCCCTTTGGGCCTTGGCCACTCTGTTGGGAGGGGATTGGAGGGCTGGGGCCCCCAGCACAGCTCCTGGCCTGGGAATGGCTCTGTGCCTTAGGAGCTGGGATTTTCATTGCAACCTACAACAGCCCATCTCAGGTCAGTGGCTGCCCATGGCCTGGTTCTCTGACAGCCAGTGGGAAGCAGCGCCTACCAGGAAGCTGGTGCTACAGTCACATGGGGAGGAAGGGACATGCTTCCCCAACACCCCAATCACAGCCACGCTCAGGCCTTTCTTCTCTCTCGGGGTCACCAACAAGGTACGATGAGTCAGGCCAGGCATTCGGCCATCCTGACCCCTGGGGATGTTCCTGGCCACTCTTCCCTGTCCTGCGGAGAGCAGTGAGCGGCTGAGAGTCTCAGGGGGCGTCAGCAGTGGAGCCCAGATTCCAGGTGGAAAAATTTGAAAAAAGGAAAGAAAAGCAGGAAATGCCAGTGTGGGGGCGTAGGATTTCTTACCATAAATCACATCCTGTCTCTTCGCCACCTCCTTCTTTTGTTCCTTTGCGTACGCCGGGTCCACAGACAGGCTCCAGGACTCGGCCTCGAACTCGTGGGCGTCCGATTCGATCTCACTCCTCAGTGAGGCAGTGTAGGGGTCTGGGGGAAGGGCGGGAGGCCACTGCTTAGCACCTCAGCCTAACTGGCCTTCATCCCACAACAAACTGACATGGGTCCCAGCATCCCCAGGGTGAGTGGGGACCACATGTCACCAGTGAAGGAATTGGGAAGACAGCCTTCTACAC